GCTAAAACAAACTTATTCGTTTGATTAATTAACATATTAATTAATAATAGCCATAAATAATTAAATCATTTAATTATCCTTTGTAATGACCCGTCCTAAATTTTACGGAACGAAAGGGGTATATTTTCACTTTGGTTGGGTTTTATTTGTTTTAAACTTTGTTTTATGCCTTAAATGGTGTGCCAAAGGTGAGGCCTACCCTTGATTTTGTCCCTCATCCCACTTTCCTCTCTTTCTCTTCTCCTTTTCGTGAGCTCTCTCACTCTCCCTCTCACAACACTCTCTTCCTCTCGGCTTTCTCTGAAAACAACATTTCCAAGGGCCTTCCATAACAAACAACAACAACAACCCTTCACCACCATTCTCTCCCCTTTAAGTGAACCCAGAAAACACCCTAAACTTTTCCCTTACCCTCGGCCGACACTATTCATCATCTTCTCCGATGAGTTTCTTGTTTTTCCGACGTTGGTAAGCTTATAAAAACCCTTGGGTTGTGCTTTAAGGTTAGATCGAAGCTTGTTTTAAGATGTGTATACGTGTGAATTGTAGAAAATAGCTCAAAGTAGCTTTTCCAAATTTTTCGACAAGCACCGCCTCTTTCGAGGCGTTTTCCAACCAAACCACGGTGAGTTAGCCGTCATGCAAAGTACCAATCTCTTCCTCTCGTCGAGTACTATAACTTTCATGTTTAGATCACTTGATTTGGTTGAGTAACGAAGAAGTTATGAGCCTTGGAAATCAACCTAGAAATCGGCCAAAAACTTGGCCTGAAAACGAGTCATCCCGACCTATTTGCCCTGAACCCAAACCCATTTAGGTTGAGACTTAGCCCAATTACCCTAAACCCAAATCCTTTTAAGTCTAGGCCTTGGGCTGGATTACCCAAGCCCAACCCAATTATTTGTATTTATTTATTTCTTTCTTTTTAAAAACCCAGAGGCATTCGGCTGGGCTTTCAAGCCCAATACTCTTTAAACAAAAACCCTTTGGACCCAAACCCTTTAGACCCAATTTGACCTGGTCAAAGCTGACTGTTGACTTTTGTTGACTTTTTCGGGTTTTTGTCCGGGACCCTTCTAGGCTAATTTCGACATCCTGAACCCGATTTTGATGTCCATTTTCCCAAATTCAATTGTTTAGGTAGAGTTTTATTAATTGAATCATTTATGTGCTTAAGTGCAATTATTATCGAAGATTCCAGCTTCCTAACTTGAACGGATGTGACTTCACAAGTATCTGTGAGGAGGTCATTTCTTTTTTTTATAAGTATATGCATACTTGCTAGTTTCCAGTTATACTTTGAAAAGAATTTACTACGTATGCCTTGCTTAGACTAAAATTACATGAAGTAGCAAAATGACGAAAGTTAGGGAATTATTCTGAATCCTATAGGTTCATAGGTATACGTGAGATACCATGATTATATTTTACAGCTATGATTAATTACTGTTACAAGAATTGTTGTACTGTTGTGAAATGCTAAAATAATCCTACGGGATGCGAAAGTAAGTTACTTTGTTGATTAGAATTATTGAATTGTTATGGCATGATTATATTTATGTTATCTAATCATCATTATTACACCCCGGTGTTAGTACTCGCCCTAGGACCAGGGCCAGTCCCTCACGTGTATGTTCACATCCGCACTGTTCGCTCGCTTTGGATCCAAGTTAAGTGTCAGTCCTGTCGTACAGATTGTATTAGGCAATTCCGACTTTTATGTTACCGCAATTCGACGTCAGCCTTCATGTGATCATAGTCGACATCAGCCTTCACGTGATCATAGTATAAGAGCGCATTGATTACACCCAATCATGTTCGTTTCAGAAATTATTTGTACGAACTCGTGTGTCAGCATAGGTTAATGAGCATTCGTTATGATGTGTTTACTATTTCGAGATTATGTGATTGCGGTCACCTTATGCTTACCTTGATAGTTGTACTTTATTTACTTTCTTGAGACCTTGCAGGTTACGGTAAGTATTTTCTTATTATACGTACTATGTATATTTTTGGAAACTATACTTGGTTTTATGGCGATGGATTATAATGTTTTTGAAAAGGTTTTTACAAAACGTTATTTTCTGACCCACTCAACTTTATTTTTCGCCCCTCCAGGTTTAGTAGTTGTCTTTACATGTAAACGAGGATTCTGGCAAATCTCAGGAGATGGTTATCTTCAGTGGTATGACCCTCATCCTATTTACTATATTGTCTTATGCTCTGACATCACGTGTGAAAAGGGTTTAATCCAGCTCACCCGTGAACTCTTTTGATTAGGCACTTTTAGGTTTAAAATTTATTCACATTCTTTTTCTACTACACTACACTTTATGGCTTCGTCACCCTCCAAGTGTCGACCAGTATAACTCGATTCGGAGTTCAAGTGGACATTCCGGGTCGGGGTGTGTCATCCTTACTCATTTCCGTTGTTTCTTCAATTTCTACCTTACACGGTGTACGATCCATTAGGTTCCTTTTAACGAGGCAGTGGGCGATTAGAACTCTTCAAATCGATTGTGAATTGAAACATACTTTCAATTATCCCTTTAGTGATTGTACACCTTTAGGGCTTCTACAAACCATGAGTGACACCTAGCAGTATATCATGGTTACCCAAGCTAATCAGAAGAAAAGGAGAACCTATTTAGTTTAGGATTACAATGCAATAATGTCTTTCTATAATACAATACTCTTGACCACATTGTTTGGTTTGATAGTTTATTCATGTCTACTATCCAATGTGATTCTTTTACTTATATGTTTACCTTGAATGTGATTTGGAACGACTTCCTAAATCTCATTCATACTCTGGCCAAAGATTCTTAATCATATCATAGAGTATTTTCCCTCAAACGGTTTAAAGGTTAGAGATCCCTTATTGTGCATTCACTTGCCTCCATGGCTAAGTGGCTTAACCCCAACTACGCCGTGGACTCCCTTTGACGGAGTGACTTTGACATAGTCAAAGATGAAGAACTTAACCACAAGACAACTATGATGCCTCAGGTCAAATGACTACTTTGCATTATCCCAACTATGAGTTCTCATGTGATATAAGTATGAGAACTCCTTGTTGATCGCGTTCAGTGGACTCATTCTCTATTGAGCACCTACATGCTTATCTTGATGTCAGTCATACCAATGACTCAAGATCAGTCACTCTCTTTAAGAGAATACATAACGCGTACTGATCTTAAGAGACTGTCAATGCCCAATTGGCAATCTTATGATCAGAAACGTTTAAGATATGTATACGAAAGACAATGGTCTTATGAATCTAACTTCTTTAGATCACATTCTCCCAATTACATATTCCTTGGACTTATTGTTTAAGCATATAACATTTATATGAGACGACTTTAGACAATAATCTTTGCCTTTTATATTAAACTAGATTAGTTTAACATGTGAAATATCAGTAAAGTATCATCATATGATTGGTTTTAGGGCACATTTCCAACAATTCACGGTACTCAACAGAGGAGCTCAACCCATGATGGATTTTCCCACATTTTTTTCTCTCGGACCAACAGGTAGAAGGCCTGCATGCCTATCATTCCAGCAGCCCATGAGGCTCGTAACCTCCTCATTTCTCTCAATCGCCGGCTTGGCATGTGTCAGGTCCAAGAACCCAAAGAACATAAGCCATGGTGCTCGTTTAGCACTGCGCCCCAGCGCCTCAATCCGTGGCCCCAGCCGCACAGCTGCCCTTAGCTTTAGCCACGCCGAGCAGCCCAAGTAGTGGTCATTACCACAACACCTTCTCAGCCCATGTTGAGCCGACTCTTAGCCTCTGTCAGCCGACGTGCCACATCACCCTGACAACTGCCCCACGACAACATTATCCAAGAAGAGGACAAGGAAAATTAATTTTTCTTACCTCGGTGCGGTGCCGAGAAGACAAAGAAAGCAATGAAAGACGGTCCTTTGCACGGGCAAGTGTAGAAGATTGCTAAGGGAGAGGAACAAATATCCTCTAGCTTTCTCTCTATTGTAGAACAAATTGCTCTCTAAAGTTGATTTAATCATCTACTTAAGGTAGACTTAAATAGACTTTAGAAGTAATTTATTTCTCTTTCCTAGAAGGATATAATTTCCAATTAAAAAAGGAATCTACATCAAAATAGGAAACAATATTATGTTTCCTAAAGGAAGGGAAGATCTCTACACCTGCTGCCTTTTCCTACGAGCAACCCAACATGTGTGGGGGCATTTGTGGAGCCACAAATAATCAAGAAAAATATGGAGACGACACATGGACTTTTAGGTTGAAAATACAAAATTATCCTTGAGGCACACTAGGACTTCCACGCTCATGCAACGAGCAATAACGACTCAATCAAGGTCAAAGGTGATCAAAATGGTATTCATTCAAAACCCTCTCATCACTCCTCATCAAATCCTTATCCACAAGGTAACTCCCAATTATTCTTTTCAAATTGGAATTAATTACCAAAATTAATTGATTAATTACCTAATTGATTGCAAGATATTATTTGGCATAATATCTTGCAATTAGAGCCAAATTTCCATCATAAATGACCGGTCCTTATTTCTCCAAATAGGGCCGACCACACCCTTATATATAGTTCCTCATTTCTCTAAAAACCTAAGTCCATTCTCTTCCTAAAATTCTCTGAACACTTTCTCTCTCAAATTCTAACTTTGGCATCAAAGATTCTTTGACCAAATTCCCCCATTCACCATGAGGGCGTAAAGCTCTTGACCTTAATCTTAAGTATTATTGTTTTACAGATGCATTTTCGTCAAAAAAGAAGAAAACGAAAATTTACATTCACAATGTGGTGTTACTAATTCTTTTTTTAAGACATCAATTCCTCGACCTGCCATGCAGTGTTAATAATTCTTTCTTTGACATTGTAAGTCGACCAGCCACGCGGTGTTACTAATTCTTTCGTTGACATTGTAAACCCTAATACTTCGACCTGAAATCTGATAAACTCAAAAGTTCACCGGGGCAAGTACATTTCGTAAAATTTGAGAAACATGAGATTAATTATTAAAACACAAAATATTTACATTAGCTAGATCAAGGGTAGAAATTAACCACTCAAGCCAGACTCATACACACGAATCTGGCATTTGCTCTTCATAAACAAACAGGAATACGAAAAAAAAGATTGATTAGTAGTAGAAAGTTCGAAATAGTAAATAAAACGGCACAGCATGCTGTATTTTATCTATGAAGAGGCATCGGTGTGGTGTCGTGCTTTCTCCTTCTCCTTCACTTCACTTCCCTGCGACTTGTCGTAGGCCGGATGATTCTCATGGACCAGCTGACCGTGCTCCATCTTTGGAAGGGACTGGTTTCCTCCAGATATCCCACCAAATCCTTCGTCCTCGCACCTCGAGGCATACCCCTCCCCGAAAGAATGTGACAGAAGGTCCCTGATATTTTTCTTACAAACAACATTAGTCAATAGATTAAGAGCACTAGTTTGCACTAATTTTGACACTCATATTTTTGTCATTGAGAGTGCACTCGTCCCTAAATTTTGCCCCTTTATTAATTTTATACCGTTCGCTCAACAGGTCAATAAGTTAATTACACTAGTGGATAATATGTGAAAATCAAGCGAGATATATTGGGATCAAGATAATATATATGAATCGAGACATGATCCAACATGTTATCGATATCCTCAACATGTAATCGATTTGATCAACATGTTACTAATAAATTATCAACGCCATTTCACAAACATGTTATCGATTTAATCAACATGTTGTTAATAAATTATCAACGTTATCGATACAAAGTTCGATCTTTTTCTAATCATGAATTTCAAAAAATACAAGTATGTCAAAGAAATTACACTGACCCAGTTTTCTCAGTAGGTTTCTCCTGTTGCTTGTCCATGCTACTGTTCTCACTTTCGGGCTCACTGGAAACGTCTACACTTGCAGCCTGCTTGAATCGGACTCCGGAAGCTTTCCGGCCTAAGTTTGACGGCAGCGGCGGCGTGAATATCAAAGCTGGCGGTTGGGGTCGAATTAATCTGATCGCAGTGGTCATCTTCTTCATCTTCAAACTTCTCCTGCTTTGCTATTTATACATAGAGGTTGAGATTTTTTTTTGTTATATGCACTCTTGCAGAGAAAAATCTTTGACAGCTCTAAGATTTGTCTGACTGTCGTCGGTGTTACCAGAAGCTTTGTTCTCACGTCGTGACACGTGGTGATGAGAGGACACATGTCGGATTCTGGAGAGAGGAGTGTGGTTACGTGGGCTTTCAAGTGTGCATGTCGGCACTGACATGACATTTGAAACTTGGCACATTTTTTATGCTGGGAGAAGATAAGGGATACGGATGAGCAGCACAACATGTATAGGTTTGATTGGTAGCAGGAATGCCAGCAAAGATAGATATCATACCACATTATATAAAATGCGGATGAGCCGCAAAATTTACTTCCATAAAAATATGGTTTCAAGGAATGCAAATGAAAATCGGAGGCCAGTCATCAAATGTCATCCCACAATTGGCTCAAGGTACCAAGAAGTATCACAAGCGCCTGCATCGGTTGTATTTCGAACCTATTGTCCCCTCCACGACTGTGCATAAATAGAAAACAAGAATAGCATTTTTGTACAAAATAATAAAAAAATAGCCTACGTAGGTCAAAGTTTGATCATTCATTCTTTTCACAATTAATATTACGATCGTGTAGTATTAATTGAATAAGGATTCTTTTCGGATTTTCCTGAGAATTCTCTAATCACGTTCATTCATCGTACATCGTACGGTCAGTTTTCGCCAGATACTGTTTATATTCAATTTTAAATAAAAAAAATTTACAATGATTTATGACCGCACGATGTACGATGAACGGATGTGATTGAAAGATTTCCGGAATCCACACAAATAGGACCGGAGAGGATCCTCATTCGTATTAATTTTCACTTTTAAACGAATTAGTTTTTTTACTTTTAATATATATAAGATGGAGGTCATAGGTTCCTCTTTTGTAAATGAGAGGTTTTAGGTTCGATTCTCCCTAAAGGAAAAACTGAACCACATTATTATGATTTGCCCCTTGTGAAGCTTAGCCCACTCCCACACTCCTCATATAATATCGTTTCAAAAATATATATATAAGATGAGGGAGTATCGTTGTTCAATCCATGGGATAAAAAGGCCCAATATTTCCTAGCCCAGAACGCAGCCCATAGCCTCCACTATTTACAACTATGGACTACCGCCAACTGGACTCATTAAATCGAACAGAAAGTTTTGGTTACATTGCCTTGTGTCACCGTAGTGTTCCAAGTGTAAACAGAACTAAGAACTTCCGTAAAACAGACGAGTCATGGTGTCACTATAGTGTTTCAAGTTAATTATATCATGTCATATCGTTTTTTGCCACTAAAAAATGTAGATTCTCTTACACGACATTTGAAAGTTGTATGTAAGTTCTCCTCCTTCACAAGATTAAGTTGGTCGACCACAAAAGTAACCTTCTCATAATAATTGGAACATCTTAAAACTAAATGGGATCATACAAAGACGTCAAGTGATCAAGTAACTTGGTGGAAATTTTTACGCTCAAGTTATATAAAGTAAGACTCTCTATAAACTCTTTATTACCTCGCAGTTTAACGTCAATTCTCATGCTAACATTAAAAACATTATGTTAAAAACATGATATGACAGAAAATCTATGGAAATATTCACTTTTGAAAGAGTCACAGCATTTCTCTAATAACTTTTATGCAGCAAAATAGTAGTGCCACAATATTTGGGTTACCAAATTTACAAGAATGACAGGAAATTATATGACATGCTGTGTGGACATTCCATGAAATAAATCCAAGACATGAAATTCAACTAAATTTGCAGTGGATTCAAACATATGATGATATTGTCGACGACAACCTTTTAGTCTTTTTCTTTCGGCAGTAGTAAGTAAATATGAGTCATGATCCAGTCAGCCAATGCACATCGACGATGAATAGGAAAAGGTAAACGGTCAAGATGGAAGAGATGTACAGAAGAAGATGAAAGTGAACAATAATGAATTTCTAACCGTTCGATTTTCGGTTGAACGAACAAATTAAAGAGTCCGGAGAATCCAAATGAAAGGAAAGCAGGGAGGATCGTACAGGAATATCTCCCCAGAGAGAAGAGGGTGGGACCACCCGACCGTTGCAGCATGAATGATGTCATCTGACCACATTCTAAAATCCAGCCCTGATAAAATCACCACCCAAAAAAACCTCAAATATTTGAGTGGTCAATAGTGATAGTGAAAAAGTGAAGCAAGACAGCTTCTTTTCAGCTCTGTTTCGAGTGGGAAACTTCCGCGCAATCATAACGCAGAATCGCTTGTTTTTCAACCCTATCATATTCATATTCACACGATGCAACACGTGTGATTGAGTTCAAATACAATCGTTTTTACATGGAAATTGTTCTTCTAGTTGAACTAACAATAGTTACATTACAGTTTACCATCTCGTCTCGTCTCTAGTCTATTTGGTTGTTCGCTCTAATGAAGTTCGTACGTAGTTTGAGGAAACCTCGATATTATAAGTGAGTTTTTGAGGAGATCAGTCTCCTTCAAGTTGCACCTTTAGCTTGTATTGGACTAGTACCTTTAGAGCCACTTGTAGCGTAGGAAGATCTTTCTGGGCAATATGCAACTTAATCTCCTTAAATGAACAATAATTATCTAAGTGCATCTTTATCTCTAAACTGAATAGTCTAACCAATTCGTATTAAAATATTAGTATTTTTTATTTTATAAAATAATAAAAGATAACTTTGTTTTTAATTTCGGATAATAATAAAAGATTGGTTAAAAGTATTTGAAAATATTGAAATGTAATGTGAAGTGGAAGAATATTGGTAGGTATTTATAGAAAAAAAAATTATAATTTTTTATATTTTAATTAGTTTTTTAATAATTTAAATTGTGGATGACGTCATGATGATGTCAGCCTTATGTCACATAACAGGGCGCTGGGCTAAGCGATTATTGCATGGAGTCCAATTGTCTGAGTGAGCTGAAGTGTTTTGGTGAGAGAGATAGTGGACTAAGTTGCCTATTCTCAAGGCAATAAGCAACGGTGGAGTTGCTATTAGCTTGTATTGAACTAGCCTTTCTGTTTTGAAATGGAAATCTATCGTTTTTTATCAAAAATAAAAAGCATTAGTCACCTCACAAAATCAAGGCTGTTTTTGGTGGTGGTCAGGGGCGGAGGGAAGAAGAGAATAGGCCTATCCTCACTTTTTTATGCAAGCCTTCCTTATAAACATCTTTCATTATTCTTCTTTACAACCCTTCTCCTATTAGTCAATAATACAAAACACATTATAAACTATCTCCTATTTAAATTTCCAACTCCCATATTTGATTCCATCCCAACACTAATTTAATATTTATTTATTGGACATAAAATCATTAACCTTTAACATTTTGATAAAAATAAAATCTCTTAACATTAAACCCGTTCACTTTTAATTAAAACAAAAAACTTCTCTCGTCTTTCTTTCATAGTGCAACCCAGGAGCAAGAGTCCAAGACTAAAAAGCTATTATTTTTCGAGTAATGCTATTCGTACCATATTTTTGTACTACATTTCAATACCACCTTAGATAGCATTTGATGTGAACATCCACATCATTTGAATTAATCAAATTTTTAAATTTAGTTCATTCTTTAATAAACTAATAATTAAAAAAATTGTTAATTAAATGATGATTGTGGTATACGAGAAGTCTTTCTCCTTCATTTTCTTGGGTTTTGCAAATTTTTCAAATGATGTAGTTGTCCACATCAGATGCCACCTAAAGTGGTATAGAAATATGGTATAAAAACATGGTATGAATAGCATTACTCTTATTTTTCTCATTTCTTGAAATTTCATAACTATTTTCATATATAATTCAAATTAATTCAACAAAAACAAAACTATTTGTAAAATCTATCTTACGTTCTATAATTTTTTTTTATTGTTTCTCATCTATCTTACATCTTACTTAAGTGTTAGAGTTTGGACCTTTTGATTAATTCTTCTTATTAAATTTAATAGTATAGATAACGAGATTATCATGCAACGGTTTCAAAATATTAAAATTTGTGAGAGACAAATATGATTATTGAAAATATATAAAATATTATAGAGGCATGCATTATTATGGTGTTCTAATTAGTAGTTTTGTAATTGTTATTCATTATATTTGTTTGTATTTGTAAAGGACTTCTCTCCACATGAAATTCTGACTCTACCACTAATGGTGGTAGTAAAGTGTGGCAGTAAAGGTTTCATCATTGTGTAGACGAAAGCCTAACAAATGCAGAATTCTCTCACAACCGGTGAAATTACGTAATAACAATACAACGAGCAGGTATCTATGCCATCAATAGTGACACTAAATCAACACATTAGTGGCCATTCAGTACTCTGCTCAGAATACCAATTTGATGGCGCGAATGTAACAGCGATCAACTATACCATTTGATTCGTACGGTTGGAAAATTGTGAATAAATATGATTTGATAGGATGAGAGTCGTGCAACTGCAAACCAAACGCTGTCGATGTATCAACAGCTGTTGGCTGTAAGGACTAGTCCCTTCAATCTTTGCGCTATTCCATTACCCTTGTCTAAAATTTCCCTCCTTTTAACCCCAACTAAAACAAGAAAAGAAAAAAACACCCAAATCAAACTACTTAACTAGAACTTTTACAGATCGTCGTCAAAGTAAAAGATGTAAAATGTAAGATTTTCTACTCTAATGGTGGATTCAATCATCTTTAGTAGGATGCGAATTAATCGCAATTCTTTTTATTGTGCTCGCATATGGTATATTAATTTCCCAAGTCCATAGCAAAACCGTTAGTGTCCCTAAAATTAGGATAATAAGATACTAAAATTACACTGGTATGGTGTGAACCAAACTTTTACTGGCTGGTAATACAATATAACTTGAGCTTAATCAATGCGTGATTAGGTACACGCAATCTTCCAATATGTACATAATGAGTGAATATGTCTCGGAATAATATACATTACTATACACATGAC